ATAATCAAGCAGCAATAAACTTCTGTTGTGTTAAGCTACTTAGATGTTGGTGTTATTACTTGAGCATAACCTCATCTACGCTGACTGCTCCATATCCCATAAATAGCACCTCAAGAAATCTCATCAGGCCCTCTCTATAACCATACACTCATCAGTCAATAAATATTTATTGAGCAATTATTACATGCCAGATGATATCATAAGTACCAGGAATTTAGTAGGACTGTAATAGTAAAGACAAAAGTTCTTGGACTCGTGGAGGTTACATTCTAGTTAAGGGAGAAAAAGAAGGTTCTAAAGAAGTTTATATGTTAGGATTGGGTTTGGTTGAACATAGTAGAAACCCAAGTAATATAAACTTAAGCAAATTATAGGTCTAGCTTCTCTCACATAAAATATATATGGAGGCTGGCAATCCAAGACTCATAGGGTGGCTCCTCAATGTCATCAGGGACCTAGACTCATCCTATCTTTCTGATACATCATCCTTAGCACATGGTGTCCATTTTCCAGAGCACCTCATATTCCCAAATGGCTACCAAAGCTTCATTCGTTTTATCCACATTCTAACAAGAAGAAAGAAAGAGAAAGGCAAGAGGAGGTGCCTCCCAACAGAGTTGAGTCCCCTTAAAAAGGTGTTTCCCACCTTTTGCTGAAACCCTAGTCCAGAGGTAACGCATGCAACTTATTAGCCACTCCTACCTTCGAGGGAGGCTGAGAGGGAAATATACCCCCAGCTGAATGTATTTTTTGCCACAAAGAAAAATAGAATTCTGTTAGTAAAGAAAAGAGGAGAAGAAGTATTGAGTAGGTATGTAACAGTCTCTGCCATGGCAGATAAACAAATAAAGATTTCAGCTCGTGGGGAGTATTTTGAAGAGAAAAAAATGTGATTAAAAAATGGAGAGGCAGTAACTGTACCCAGGGCAGGGAGGAAAGACCTTCCTAAAGAGATGGTATTAGAATGATAAAAAGAAGTCCTCCATGGGGATATCTGGGGAAGGGAACCCCAGGCCGGGGCAACAATGGGTGCAGCACACAGCAAAGCTCTCAATTAAAGTTATGCAGTGTTATTGTTTATCATCCTTCTGCATTACTCAGATCAAATCTCACTCCCTTCTAAAACATTCCCCTCCCCCCACCCAGCCTTCATTTATCTACTTTCTCTAACTTGCTTTATACTTATCATTTATAACACATAATCTACATCCTACCACATGCTGTCCTGTTCTCTGTTGGTATCACTCAGTTTGGCACTTGAACCCACACTAATGACTGTATGCTAGTATGTAAAATAATGCTTTGTTCTAATTCTTCATGTCTGTGCCTTACCTCTTCTCTCCAACTATACTAGGAGACTCCTATAAGCCAATCGTATACTTCTCTCACACCTTCACATAAATAGTGCAGTGCTAGACACATGATGCATAGGTGCTAAATATTTGGGCACTGAGAGGGGGCCTTTCATTTAAAAAATTCCAGAAATCTTGTATATTAGGAAACCAAATGGTAGTGAAAGAATGTTTCAGAACTGGAACTTATATAAATCTCTAGTTAAGCCAACCATTCTCTGGGCAGGGCCTGTGCTATCGCAGGGAGAATAATGCTATGCATTCTCTTCTTGAAGGTCTCCAAAATACTTTAAGAAGTAGCCTGACTAATTCACGATTTAAAACTACAACTTTAGACTGATCCTCAGACCTCCTGGGCCAGCGGAGGTAATTGACCATCAAAACAAATAAGCTCTTCCAGACCATTAGCCCAGGGCCTCTCCCGCTACAGGGAGGGAAACTAAGCAGGACCCATGAGCCTTCTAAGAAGCCTCCCTGCACTGCTCCATGGCTTTAGGGGCTACGGAAGCTGAAGAAAGCCATGCACAGCACTACAAAGAACTTGCACAATGCAGAGCAGTCCGGTTTGCCCATGATACTGCCTCCTTTTACTAATACTGATGAGCAGTGGGGAGTAGTGGGTCAGAATCTGCTACCAGGCCAACAGAATTCAAACCACAGCTCCGCCACTCACTGGCTGCATGACTTCAAATTACTTCAATCTCTGAGTGCCTCAATTTCTTTGTCTGGAAAATGGTAGCTATAACAGCTCCCAATGCTTACAGTTTTTATGAGAATTAAAAGGGTTTAAATTATTATAGTGCTCAGGACAACACCTGGCTGTAAGCATTATGCAAGTGTTTGTTAAATAATTTTTAATCGTGTGTGTGTGTGTGTGTGTGTGTGTTTTGAGCATTTCTAAGACATTTCTCGGGACTGGGACCATAAAGATGAACAAGACTCAGCCCTTTCCTTTGAGAAATTCAGTTAATTTAATATGCTGGTTTTAACAGCTCTGGTAGAGGAAGGAGTGATTAACTCCACCCAGAGTAACAGGAGAGGCTTCACAAAGCTGGCATCTATAATTGAGTAGGATTCATAGTGCAAGGGGGTGGGGGGTGGGGGGTCTTTCACAGTAGTGGTTCTCAAACTTACTTTGCATTTGAATCACCTATGATTAAAACCCAGCCTCCCAAGCCCCACCTCCAGAATTTCTGATTCAGTTGGTCTGAGTGGAATCTGAAAATCTGCATTTCTAATAAGCTCCCAGGTGATATTGCTGCTAGTCCCAACGCCCACTTTGAGAACCACTGCTTTTCAGAATCAAGAGAGAAGCATATACATAGATGCAGAAATATGAAACAACCTGGCCTTCTCAGGGCAGAGAAGGTAGTCTGGCATGACTGGATCAGACAGCAGTGAAGGAAAATGGCAAAAGATTAGGTGGGAAAACGAGGCAGAAGCTGATCCCAAAGCAAAGAAACTTGAAGCAAATCCTATACACATGGAGGAGATTTGGGAGTTCACAGCCTTGAGTAACATGATCAGTTTGTATTTCCAAAACTATCACTTGGCCATCAATGTGGGGAATGGACTGGAACAGAGGGAGACTAGAGGAAGGAAGAACAGCTAGAAGAGGCCAAAGGAGAAATGAGGCCAGAGCTGGTACAGATGCAATCAAATAAAAGACAGAAATCTTGGGGCACAGTACCAAGCAGATGTGTGGAGGCCTATACTAATGCGGGGAGAAGAAAGGATTAAAGGCTACTCCAAGCTGGCCAGCCCTGATGCTGAGATGGAGGAGTCCTATTAACTGAGAAAGGAATGTGGGGGATGGAAGAGGTTTGGGGAGAAGAGAACATCATAAATTCAATTTACAAGGATTCTGACACATGCAAGATGCCCATTACACTAGAAATACAGGTCTGGAGTTGAACACTGAAGTCAGAAGTAAATAAAGAGCTGGGCACCACTGCACACAGGTCCAGGTTAAAATCAAGACTGTAGGTAAGATGGCTGAGGAAAGAGCCAGGGCACAAACTCGATTCACCATTTGTAAATAGGCTCAGCAACTGAAAGCAAGCAAAGAGACAGGGAGAATGAGAAAGGGGTACAGAAGCAGAGACCCGGGGAACCCAGCAAAAATTTTACAGCATCCTGGTGGAGTAATATCGTCTTTCTAGCATCGTGAACTCTTCTGATCGCATCTGCACTGAAGGGAAAGTATCTGTGCTGTTCATTACATGCTCACAGGTCTATTGACTACCCTTCCTTGTTAAGCCTGACCCTTGCAAATTACATTTCTCAGGCTCCTTTGCCAGCAAGCTTCTGGTTGATTTCTGCCAAAGAGAGGCACTGGCAGGATACTATGGGGAGGAGGGTAGTAAAAACCAAATTATTCCTCCCCTCTATCCTTCTCCACCCCCCAGCCCATCTCTGCCTTCTGTGGCTTCTCATTAGACCTGTGCTTCTGGTTCCCACCAGGTACCCAGCTCCTGGGGTCTGGGAACATTCCCCTTCTTCTCCCTACAGCTGTGTGAGTGAGGAAGATCAGCTTGCTGCTGCTGCACATCTGTGCGTTGACTCACCAGCCCATTTGGCTTTTCAGCTCTTCCAGTACCTCACAACTAGTTCCTGTATGAATGCAATTAACACTGGCTGATGCAGGTGCTGTGGTCCTGGTTGGTCCCCGACTGATAAATGACATATAATGATAACACATCAGTTTCTCTCTCCACAACTTCTGTCTGGTTTCAGAATCCAATTCAGGCTGGGATTATCCAAGCTGGTATTAACAAAGCCTTCTATTTAAAAGTTGAGGGGAAAGTCATTTTAAAAGAGGCAGTAAATAAAGATAAAAGCCGAAATAAATTATAAAATTATAAAGCAGTAGAATGATAAATTAGTTCAAATGCTTTTTTATAAGACTACTAAAATAAACCTCTGACAAATATAATTAAGGGAACATTTTTAATTAAAAATGAAATGGAGATAGGACAAAATACAGAAAATAAATTTCTTTCCCCAAATCCAAAGAGAATGTAATGTATAGTTGTAGGCTAATAAACTGAAATCTTCAATGAAATTAATAATTTCTAGAAAGATATAGTTTACTAAAAATAACTCAAGAAGTATAAATCTAAACAGAATAATGACCAAGGAAGAAACTGAGGAAATTTCTGATAACTACCTAAAAAATGCAGCTGGTCCCAATGTTTACACCAGAACGATTTTCACACTTTTAAGAAACAGATGGTTTTGATGTTTTATAAAACAAGTAGAGTGCAAAAAGAGATAAGGGTACCTTTGTGTCCATTAAGCAAACACGATCATCTTCCTAAAGCCTGATGAAGATAAAACACACAAAAAGAAAATTATGGGCATATATCACAAATGAATATGAACAAGAAAAGCTTAAATAAAATTCTTTCTTCTTAAATAGGAACTTGTTTTACTGTACTGCTTCAGATCTTTAGAAGAAAGATACATTTTTTTTTCAGTAACAGATTTACTGAGATAGAATTATTATACCATAACA